GGATAACCCTACAAAATTTAATCATATATATATAACAATTAAATTTTTTATTTATTTATTTTACATACATTTTCTAATATATCAAAAAAAGCAGCAACTGTAGTATTTGTTGCTGCTAAGACAAATTTTTCATGTGTTTGTGGTATAAATGTTCGATTATAAGTACATGGTGAATTTGAACCTCCTTCACATGGTTGATTTAAAAGAACAATTGAAGTTATTGTACCGGATACACTGTTTAACAAAAAAACACATAAATAACATAAAGATTAAATTAGAAAAAAAAAAAGAAATTTATCAACCTTTCATTCATCACTGTAACCATATCTGGATAACCATCAAGATTATAATCAGCTATTTTAATACTAATTGGTATTTGATTAAATGGTGCTGAAAATTCATTTTGTAAAGGAAATCGTATTCCATTACCAAATTGAATTGGTAATTGATGCCACTAAAAAAAAATAAATTTTCTTTTTTTAAATTTAGAATTACAAGCTTTTCAATATAATAACAACAAATATTATATAGTTTTGTTGAAAAAAAAAAGATTTTTCTTTTTTTTTATCAAATAACGTGTGTTCTACTGGATACTGTTGACGTGTCAATAGGTGGTGTTACCTTTCTCATATTTCATCATGGCGTCATCTATCAACAGTATGCAGTAGAAGAACCGGTTTGCAAATGTCAGCTAAAATCAATGGAATTACTTTCTATAGATGATGAGCCAATTAAATGAAAGTTTCATATTTTATAGCATTTCAAGCGATATTTTTCTCTTACCTGCTACATCTCAATACAAACGAGAGGTCACATTGCCGTCACCACGACGGCATTAAATTTCTACTAGTAACAAAAATCTCTATTTTAAACCTTGAGTTGAACTAATCAAAAGAAAAAAACCTTCAGAAGATATAATAACAAATTTATGAAATATTTTAAAATCTATTGATTAAATTTTTTTTGTTATTTAATAAATCCACCTAGGATCTTATTCAAATTCATTAAAAATTTTATTTTACAATGAAAAAGCTTTATTTTTCATCCAATAAATTGAGAGTTCAATCTACTTTAGATATTTAACTTACAGCATCATCATCTCGAACATAAATTCGACTTTGTGAACAACTAGTATCCATACAAACAGGAAGAATATGTTCTAATTCACCATCGGCATCTATATTATATTTTATAAGAAAATCAATATATTAATTTTTCTCAAAATACCTATATCAGCAAATGCTGATAAATGATAAATAGCAACACCTGGTGGTGGATCATATTCTTTAATTAATGTTAATTTTGTTATTGGTAATTCATATATACGATATTTTATTTTTTTATCAGTTTGAATTGTTAAAAATAAATCTAATAAAATATAAATGCATAATTAAAATTCATCTAAATACTTTGATTCAAAGTATAAAGCTCGTGCATAAATTCAATCTATTTACAAACTTTACTTTGTCTATAGTTACGTTCACTATTCATGTCATTTTCTTCATTCCTTCAATGTTATAGTAACTTTTACTACTTAGATTTTTCTTTTTGTATTATTTATTCATCTCTTTGTCTTGAAGCATTTGCGCAGCGCTTTGAATTAGGTTTACGATGGAACCTCTTCAAGTGTTAATCGTCGATCAAGTTCATATTTTGCCTATAAGTAAGACTTGATGAGGTTAGTAGAAGCCCGGATACTATTCGTCCCCATACGCTGTCCTACCGGAGTTAGGACTGTTTTACGGGGTTTTTTTTGACCTCTAACAATGAGATTTTTTTATACATAAACAGGTCTCATGGTCACTAGAATGAACGTTTCTTTCTCAAGATATTAAATTTTCAAGGAACGATCATATTTCAAAGCCAAAGGTCAAAAAAATCGAGTTTCTTGAAAACTCAATATCTCGAAAAAAGAAACGTTCATTTTAGCTGAAACTTTTAGTGACCACGAGATCTGTTTATGTACAAAAAATTTCATTGTTGGACTTCTCTATAAAATATTATTGTCAGAGGTTCAAAAAAAAAAGAAAACCAGTAAAACGGTTGTAACTCCCGAAGGACAGCGTATCGGAACGAATCTTTCCGAACTTCAACTAACCTTATCAGAGTCTTACTTATAGACAAAATATGAGCCCGTAACACTTGCAGAAGTTCCCTCATTCGTTGAATAATCCAGGATTTTTTTCTCCGGAGGGGCGAAAAATTATTTTCAGGGGGAGGGGGGCAAGCCATGTATTCGTAGCACGATTATCACAAGTCTCGGGAGGGTGAACTCGATTTTGGGAGGGGAGGCGCCGCCCCCCGGGGACCCCTCTGGATAAAACACTGGAATAATCTGTAAAAAGAACTTCAGACTAATTCAGTAAACAATAATTAATATATTTACCAGCAACAAGATCATGACTAAGATCAACTGAAGCTTGTGTTGAACTCGGACGAAAATTATCAATATTAGGTAAAATTTCAACGGTTGATCTAGTATTATTTTTACTTAAAAATAAAAAAATAAAAATTAATTTGATCAAAAAAGAAAAAAAAAACAATTTTCTTACAGATAAACACAAGCTGGTTTAAAATTTTTTTTATCCGTACTAATCATTCCTAATAATTCAACATATGAATCACCATTTGCACTAAAATTTAACAAAAAAGAAAAATTATTCAAATCTTTAAAACCAAAACAAAAATTTACTCAAGAGTTGTTGGAATACTTTCAAATAGATAATCAAGTGGTTGTAAAACATCTAAAAAAAACAAAATTAATAAAACTTATTATTATAAAATATTTATTTCAATCTCTTTTTCAACTTACTTAATTTAATTCTATCACCCCAAAATATTCCACCATTATAACCAGTTTGATCAAATTTTTCTTTATATAGTACAAATAAATCAAGTTTACTATCACCATTAAAATCGGCTGCTAATGCATCATAAATAATACCAGTTATATTTATATTGAATTGTTCTTTTGATGTTGGTGATCGATCATCATTTAACATTATTCGTATTCTATCACCTAATTTATAATAATAAAAAAGTTTTTGTTTTTTCTTTTTTTGTTCATTCTAAATTATACCTTTTGTATTTCGACAAAATATATCAATAACTTTATCAGCATTGAAATCACCAAATGCTAATGGTATACAATCATCAATAGAATATTTTTTATGTTTTCCAAAATTTATATCAAATACAGGTTTTTCATCACCAGTAATATCGATAACATTTTTCGTTAGATCATTTTTTCCATTAACTACCAATATGCAAGAAATGAGAATAATAATGAAAAAATAATGAAAACCTATCGAATTAGGTAAAATACGGAATTTCTTTTCATAATTCATGTCATCTATGAAGAAAAAATAAAAATTCATTTATGAGTTTATTCGTTGAAATAATTTTTAGCGCGTTTATATTTAATAAAATTCAAAAAATAAAAAAATTTATTCTATTTGTCCCAAAAAAGAAAAACAAAAAAACGAAATATTACATCAACTGAAACATATATTATTCGAATGTAGTCTATTGAATAAGCATAAATATCAATCATTCATTTATTTTACTATTGCATGTGATTGGTTCAAAATCTTTATCCAATAGCAAAATGTCTAAAAAACGAAAAACAAATTATTATTATATTTTTAATATGATAAAGAAATATACGTAAATACTATTTCAGTAGTTATACAGTAAAACATTATAGTTTTTTAATCAAGTCGGACAAAATAATCAGAAGCGACATCTATTGAAAACAAAATATATATTCAAGAAGAAGAAGAATCATTTCTGAGTTAAAAGTAACAAAAGTATGAGCCGCCTAGCGGTTCCGACAAAAAATAAATGGAATCGTATTGGAACTAAAAAATTTAATTAGTATTGTATAACCTGAAGTCGAACAGATCAATCAACAATTACACCAGAGGGAAACTATGTGTATTTCTTACTTTTATATGAAAAGAAAAGTCAAGAAAAACTATGGTTAGATACTCTGATCTTATATACTTTCATCATTATTATAGTTTTGAGGCTATATTCTTGTTGAAAGCGAAGTTTTTTATTTCTTCTATAAACAGCAACAAAAAACAAGAGATTCATTTAAAATTCCACCCAAAAAAAACAAATGAACCATTTGTTGATTGACGAAACTAGAATTCAATGAAGTGTTGATAACAAATATCACAATTGTGAATGTATAGGGTGTCTCAAAAGTTTGCAAGGAAAGTTAATTCAAATATCTCTCATACAACTCAAGTGATTTAATTGATTTTTTTATAATATGTTAGTGTGTTCTTTAAAGTTTTATTTCGTATATTTTCAGATAAATATCTGGGCTTATAAACATTAGAATTAAAATAGTTTTATTAATGGCCAAATTTGAGTTATCTCTCGTTATGAAAGGAAAAATGCAAGTCGGATTTGGCATGGAAACGCCAGACATAGACCTGTACAATTGATGCTTTCCAAGTCTTTTGCGAAATGAGTATAGTAGTAAATAGATAACAATCTGAAAGAACTTCAAAATTTACAGAAGAGAAAATCCGCGAAGTTTATGAGAATTGTGAAAATATGCCACTATCGAGTATTCGAGTTGTTGCAAGAGCCTGCTTCATTCTATGAATAATAGCAGACATAATTATCACTGAATATCAACTAATGAACCTATACAGAGTGTAATTTGTCGTACAACTTCATGAAGAATATTCGCAATATCGAGTTGACATTATATCACTTTGATCCACACATTACAAAATATCCATAATGAGGAGAGCTCTTTTTTTTTTCAGACAAAGACTCTTTTCATTTAAATGGCTTATTGATAAATATAAAGTGAACACCTATGCCTATAAAATATATATATATAAAGATTTAGTTATATTCAAAATAAGGACCGATACAGAAAAGAAAATAAATTTCCTCGAATACCTTTTAAAAGATTTCGAAAACGATAGATTTATGTATTTCAGTTTGGCATAGCCATTTTGAACATTTGTTACAAACTGAATTATGTGAAATAAAACTTTAAAGGACATATTAGCATATTATAAAAAAAATCAATTAAATTGCTTGAGTTATATAAGAGATATTTAGATTAACTTTCTGTCCGAACTTTTGGGACACTCTGTATATTAACATTTTCAATAGAACAAAAAATCATTTTCAAATTGACGAAATTGTCTTGTTATAGATTGAATTTTAAAAACATCAGCTGTGAATTGATCATGTTTAGATAAAATTGTTTCCATTTGTATTTGTTTACATGATAATACAAATAATGACATTGTTACGATATCAAATGGTGTTCATAATTCAGTTAATTGAACATTATCTTCAGCTAAACCAACTTGTAATAAACAAACATTTATTTTTGGTAATTGTAAAGATATTTTTGTTGTTGATAAATCAATTGGTGTTTTTAATGGTATTGATAGATTTGATTGTGTTTGAGCTTGAAAATGAAGACCATCAAGAATTGATATTGGATGTATATCAGATGTTTTCAATTTTTCAATATATATTGTTAAATATTCAAGCATAAGTAGTGTTAAAAGTATATTAAATGCTCCAATAAATCTAAGACATATTTCTTTTTCAGTTGCAATTACATTTGATGAACCTATTGAAGTTGTTGTTGGTGCAATTGATAAACTTGATCTTGTCGAATATTAGGTGAAAATGATGCTATATTTGACCATGTTGAAGAATGATAATGTGATAAATAACGAATATATGTTGTATATAACAGAGTCGATTTTGGTATAGGTATTTTCATTTGATTACGTAGACTAATTCATGATGAATCTGGTAAAAATGATTGAAGAATAAAATTGTATTTCATTGATGATGATATAACCTGAAGATAGAAAGATTTATTTCATTAATCATATTATGAATTTAAGAGAGCATTCGTATGAATATCGAAAATTATTTCACTATATGAGACATTGGTCAAAATTTGACTTTTTGATTTTTTTTTTAACTGAAGAAAATGAGTTATTTAAAATATTAAATATTATCTATTAACTGGAATTGTTATATAGTCGAACAAGAATGGAAAAGATCATGATTTGAGTATTTATAATTTTTAAATCAAAAGACATCAAGTTGAAGTTTTGATGTATTATGTAACGTTTGATTCTCTATAAAGTCGTAAAAATATTGAAAGAAAAAGTTCATCTTCGAAGCGATATGAGACTTATACTATAAGTAGCTTGGTAAACAGTATCAACGAATGCAGTGTCATTTATTCATGAAACTTTTCGTCTTGGAAAAATTAGAACTTCATACTAAAATGAATGGCATAAATAGAGTTCTCCCAAAAAATGAAAAAAAAAGAAATTTTGCCGCTCCAATTCCTCTGGAAAGAATGAGAATTTTAAAATAAAAATGAGAAAAATTTTCTTATCAGAAAATTGAATAATGATCATTCAGACCAATAGAACTTTGGACATTAATCATATTCATATGATAGACCTCTCTAGATCATATACTTTGCTATGAATTCTCTAATGCTTCATCAGAAGGTTGTTCCATGTACTACTAGACTGCGCTTCCTAGTGAACTTCGGTCACATGGCTGTAATCAGAGTGCAAACCTCTATAGATCTGGATGATCATTAGTCAATTTGACGAAAAAGAAATTTGTGGTCATTTTTTTTCTCGAGATTTTCGTATCTCCCACCTCAGGGTTTGGAACTCAAAATTGTTGTTTTTATTTTTCGAGAGAAGTGTCCGTGTCATTGTATTCAGGATGAAAATTTTCATGAATAAACGACATCGTAAAATATCTCGAGTTCATTTTTCTTGAGACTATTCATCGAGTTATTCACAATGTAAATCACATATCACTTCGAAAGTGAACTTATTTTTTTCAATAGTTTTTTAACATTTTGTAGAAAGTCAAAAGTTACATAATATATCAAAAAAGTCAGTTTGATGTCTTTTGATTTCAAAATTATAAACATCTAAATCATGATCTTTTCCATTTTTTTTTCTGTTTTTCATGCTCTATCTTTTAATATATATTATATGAGAATATTCTCTGAATTAGTGACGTGTGATTCTAGTAGACATTTATGGAACAGTTTTCTTGATTATAAATAGATAGTATTGAAAAGTCAATATAGGCTAACTTTACTATAACACATCTAAATGAGCTAAAAACTTTGATTTTGGTGATTTTAGTTAATGATCTTTCGAATACATAGACAGAATCGAAAATTAAAACTTTGACCAATGCTTAATATAGTGGAATGATCATTGATATTCTCCTGGAGGTTCTCTTAAAATTTTTTTTTTTTCGAACAACGAAACTTGATATTCCTAAATAATGATCAGCTATCTATGTATTTCATGACTATTATAGAAATGCCTACAAACACGAGTTGTTATTCATAAATTCATGCAGATCGAACTATGTTCCAAGACTTGTCTTCGAGATAAACTCGAACACTTAATTCGAGCCCATTGAGTTCGAAAAGCTTGAACCAACAAGTTCTAATATCAACAATCTAAAGTGTATTAATTATCGAACTCAAATAATATCCTATGGCTACTATTTAAGCGGTCAGTAAAATAAATTAAATGATCAGTAAAATAGATGAAATGGTCAGTAAGATAAATGGTCAGTAAAAAGTATATAAATGATCAGTAAAAAGATTGAATGGTCAGTACTTAGACTATCACTCATATAAAAAAAAGATTGGAAAAAATCTAATTTTAATCGATTTTTTAAATCAAACCAGTGATTAAAATAAATTAAATTTATAAATATTAATTTTAATGGCGGCGACGGTAAAATGCGTTTTCTCAAACTTTATGTTGAAAACTCAGATGTTCGATCGCTTTTTCGGACTCCTTGCCTCAGAAAATTAGTAGATATGATGCTAGATCGACCTTTGACATAAATTCCATGCTTCAAGACTCGATATCAATTGGTACTTATTCATTTAAAAAGAAATACTATTAGAATTGATTAAAATCGATTTAAAAATTTTAATCAATTTTAATAGATTAAAAATCGAATAATCTGACTAAAATTGAGTAAAATAGTCAATGAAAAATTTTAATCGGTTAAAATGGATATTTATAAATTTAATTTATTTTAATTACTAGTTTGATTAAAAACCTGGTTAAAACTGTCCCATTTTAATCGATTTTTAATCACAAAAAAATCGATTAAAATCAGATTTTTTCCAATCTTTTTTTTATATGAGTGATAATCTAAGTACTGACCATTTAATCTTTTTACTGATCATTTATACATTTTTTACTAACCATTTATCTTACTGATCATTTCATATATTTTACTGACCATTTCATTTATTTTACTGACCGCTTAATAATATCCCATATCCTATTTTAAGAGAGAAAAACACAACTCTAGAATTTTTCAATCGTGATAAAATTATACTTTTTGAAGTAAATATATTGAATCATGTCTAGCTTGTTGTCTTTGAAGTATTTCTTCTAAAGCATTTAATGAATCTATTGATGATAAATGTGATGATATTGTTAATAAATCATATTTATTATCGATTGTTTTTGATAATAAATTTAAATTTGAATATGTGGTTGATGATGATGATTTCATACGATTAATATTATTATTATTTAATGTTGAATTTAAACTTGATTGACTTAAATTTATTAATGATAATTGTTCATTTGATGTTAAATAAACATAATTTGGAATTATTGATATTGGATTATTATTATTTAATGGTATTGATGATGATGAATGTTCATGTTCATTTTTATCAATAATTGATTTATGTTTTATATATTTTTCTGAATTTGTACGTGATAATGAATATAAATTATTATCATTTAAATTTTAATGTTGTTCATCATCAATAATTTTTTGTTGTTATTGTTGTTGTGTACAAACAATCAAATGGATAAAAAATTTCTTCATCATTTAAATCATCATTATTAAAATTAATTGAATGATTATCATATGTATTTCAATTATATTTATGTTGAAATATTTCATGTGAATGTATAACATGTAAATCTAAACGAAATAATGAATGACCAAATGTTATTTGTTTACTAACCGTAAGACGAAATGAAGTTTTAAAACATTGTTTACCTCGTATGTTTTAAATTTGTTGTTGTTGATATTATTATTTGATTATTTATTGGTTGTTGAGGTTTTGTACTATAAAGAAATTCTAATTGTTCATTTATATTAACTGGAGTCGGTGGATGAAATTCAAATTTTGCATTAATACGTAATTCAAGTACATTAATCGAACCAACTTCTAACCATGAACTGGAATATAAACATAATAATTATCGGATTTGAATTGTGTCAATTTTTAATGTTAAACTTTCATTACATAATATCGTATGCATATTATACATACATAAACGAATAGGTGCAATCTGAATATACAAAGAAAAACAAGATGAATATAGGAGAATGATTGAATAAATAATTTCTTACTTGCATATTAACAACATTACCAATTTCAACAAAATTAAAATTAATTGAATCTAGACTAAATCGAAGTACATCATATTTAAATTTTTCAATCCATTTTGTTCTATCAATAACAGGTGAACATGTAAGTATATATTCATCTTCAATTATTTGTAAATAAAAATTTTTTCCATCTAATAAAAAAAACAAATTTATTAAAGAAGAAAAAGAATTTTTTCTTTTCTTTTTTACTTGAATTGTTGTTATACGAGCTAATATTTCATCAAAAATAACTTCCAATTGCCAAGCATATTCAAGTGTTTCACGTTCAGATAGTAAATCTTCATGTGAAAGCATAGCATGACCATGAATAACAAAACCAGATAATTGAAGATTTCCAGTAGATAAATGTTGATCGGATTTATTTCTCTATATAAACAAAAGAGAATATTTTTTTTAAGACAGAATTCATGACTCAATCGAGCATTTAGGAGAATATCCGACATGAGCAAAACTATATGTTAATGTTTGTTATTTTAAATCAAATCAGAAGTAAAATCGTGAAAATTTGAAGAGTTCATTTTTGATGTATTTTGGGTATCATACATTAGCATCAATCAGGACCAGAAATTTTATTTCTATTACAAATAGAGCTTGAAAAATACTACAAAATATACTCACTTAGAAGTTCTAATCTCTATGACGACGAAGTACTTTTTTTATTAGCGACAACATGACAATGTATAAATGCTTTTTGATTATTTTAAAAACTGAATCTAACAAGATATTATTTTTCCTCTCCGAACAAATTTCATGAAAAACACGCCCCTACTCCCTCTCAGCCGTTTTTTCTGAATAATTTCGCTTGTATTCTCCTTCTAGCGCCAATATTCCGACGAAAATTTTTTTTTTCTAGAAAAACACAGCTTATTTAACGCAGTTTTTGATGCTGATTACGAATATGATATTTATTTTGTCATTGAATTGTATTATGATGTTCTAGATCAAAAAATAAACTGAAAAATAGTCAAAAAGCATCTATAAATTATCACATTGTGGCTCACAAAAAAAAAATACTTCTTCGTAAAGATTGAAATTTCTAAGTGAGTTTACTTTGTAGCATTTTTCAAGCTCTATCTGTAGTAGAAATAAAATTTCTGATCCTAATTGATATTTATGCGTGACACCCAAAATAGGTCAAAAATGAGCTGTTCGAATTTTCATGATTTTGCTCCTGATTTGACTTAAAAGAACAAACGCTAACATATATATACATATACGAACGTCTGAAATACACTGATTTTTAGAGAAAAGAATTTCCTATCCTTTGAGATGCTACTCGATTTAATGCATTGAATCATTTCCAAGATATTGTGAAAATACCAAAATCGGTCGATACTTTCCTCTCAATGTTTCTTCTCTAATTTCTCAGAATTTCGTCTGATCAAGTTAAAATCTTGTTTGAGCTTTCTTTCGAAACCATAAAAATGATATGTCAAAATTTTTGCCCATGATGGGTATTCTTGACTGACCTGTGGTCTCTTTCTTAATCAATAATATGTCAAGATAGGGTTTGAGATATAACAAACAAGTGTGTTTTTTTTTCGTTTACTTACAACGATTCTATCTTCAATATAAAGATTAATTAGTAAAAAGAATACTTGTAATCTTGTTTCATCTAAATCCGTTGTCATTTCAACACAAAATCTTTCACAAAAAGCTATTGGATATGGTTCATTATCGATATGCTAAAATTATATAACAAATGATTATTGTTTAAATTTACATGAAGAAAATGAGCTGTTATATTATGTAATGCAACATGTAAAGTAACTTTTAATGATCGAAAATATCTTCGATCAAATGGATGAGTTTCATCAATTAAATCAACAAGTGGATCATATCATGTACAATAATTTTTTTTTTCACATATTAATTCAGGTTCACGTATATCATGATATATTTGATCCCAATCAAATAAACCTTCCTTAAAAAATATTTCATTTTCTATGAAAATATAAATTTTATTATAAAACTTACTTTAATCCACCAAAGTTTTTTTAAAAAAAAACCATATAAAAATAAATTTACTGGACCAATATCAATTTCAATATTAAATACATCATAATCTAATTTATTTGGATGAAACGTTTGACGATTATCCATTGATTTAACATGTTGAATATATAAAAGATCTTAAAAAGAAAAAAGAAATTTTTTTATGAAAAATTTCATTTTCTTTTACCAGATCTATTCGTATCAATTGATGATGAAGTATGAAGAAGAATTTGAACAAGTTTTTTTATATTATTAACTTTACAACAATCAAAACAACGATCACTTTAAAAATAAAATTATAAATCATTGGAAAACATCAATTCTAGCAAGAAATCAATGAAACTTTTCAATGGAATATTTCGGACGAAATAGTCTTGATCAACATCCTATTCGTTCTCGTGAAAAATGCTCGAAGATATTCCGTCCAAGTTCCATTCATTTCCAAAGTTCGAAATCATCGACTTAGGTAGAATCCAGCAGAGACTATCGAGCTTTATAATAATGTGAAATCAATATAGAAAATACGAATTCTGTTGACTTTTAAGAACCGAACAACTTGTCAGAAATTCTGAAGTCAATTTTTCTTAGATCCATTAGAATTCGCTTTTATGAAATCGAAAAGACAACTGCTGCTGCTATTATTTAGTTATATCTCTCGAAGATATTTAATCATATAACTGATGAGTTCAATAGTGAGAAAATTGTGTCTAGAGATTGTCGAGTGCAAAACTTTTGGATTCAGACTTAATGAATTAAACTTTCTATGACCGAGATCGGATTTATAGAAATTCTTCAGATACCGATCGATCTGATAAGATCTTCAACAAAGTTTTCTTATTGAAATTCGAAAGTAACTGTGTCGGAGATACGATAACTGCTACATTTTATACTGTCCTTGTTAGGGATCCTCGGTTCAAGATTTTTAGATTGTATCCGATGATCTTCAATCTTTTATATTCCTCTTACCGTCTTTCAAATGCATCTGATAAAGATAATTGAGATTTAATTCCATTGGGTATATAAAATCGTTTATGAGCATCAATTCCTTCACGAATATAATACATTCGACTACTTTCTGGTATAACAAGACGAGCGAAAACATCATTAACCTAAACAAAACAAAAATTATTTTTCTTTTGTTTAAAAGCAAAAGACATACTTCAATTGCGATATCCATTGGTGTAACTGTTGGACAAAATTCTAAAAATAGTAATGGATATTTTAATGAGATTGATTTTGCCCAGACGAAAATATAATCTTAAAAGAATTTTCAATATTTAATTAAAAAAAAAAAGAATTTTTCTCTTTTTGTAATTACTATTTTCCACTGGTTGTTGTTTATCATTTGTACAATCAATCCAATTACCTTGATTACATGGTACTAAAACTTCAACATATTGTCTATCTATAGTTATATTATAAATAAATGATGCATATGAATAAATATCAGGTGGTATTGATGATGCCCAATCATTGATTAAAGCTCTATTTAAAAGAAATAAAACTATTATTTCAAATAAATATTTTTGTTTTTTAATTTACCTTGAAAGAAATTTTTATGTACAAATATGAAATAAATTTGTGCTTTTTCTGTTTTTATATCAACATTCCAATCTTGAATTGAATTCCATATACGAGGATAATGTATATGAATATCAAGCTTAATAGAATAAATTTATATTGTTTAATAAAAAAAGTGTTCGCGTAACAGGATTAGACTCAATTCTATCTACACACATTCGAACCCTTAGTGAAAAAGTAAAAATATGAGCTTATTCTGAAGGAATCTTACGGAAAATTGAACCCAGCTCATAGAAATAACTTAGAAGAACTCGAATTAAAGATGGAATCGATAGAGTTTTTTTTCTTATCTGTACTGGTCGGTATACCGACATGAGTTATTCTTTAATTTTCAAATAAAACTCTCGATTAGTCATACTTGTCTTCTAACTACTACGCTAATCATGTAAGAGTTTTGTTTCACTACTATTGTACTTGTTACATATACGTTCATGAAAAGTCATCTTATAACAATTTAATTTCTTTTCTTACAAGAATATTATCAGCTTGAATAAATGGTGAAAATGAAAGATTAGTATGAACAATTGGTTGTTTTATATTTATAGATAAATATGTATCAAATCCATCTGGATTAGTTGAAAATGGAAATATTGCTTCAAAATTTACTTCTTGTTTTGGTATTTCAGCATGAATTTGATGAAGTTTCTATTTGTAACAAAAAAACAAAACAAAACACAAGAATATTTCGAATGATAATCTATATAAAAACAAACCATTTTATTCATAAAATAAATATCTAATATAATTGGACAATTACACTGCGTACTACTGAATGTCGGTTGCCTTTCTGCTTTTGTTCATCAACAACAACACCAATAAAAACTGTGCGTCTTTTGTTCTGCTGAACGACAATCTCGATCAAACATTGATACGCGACTAAAAGCCACTTGCACAACCATCTACCGAGTGTCGCATAATAAATGAGCATCTCGATATTTTGGCTATAACTTTTTTCCAGTACATTCTCAAAAACTAATCTTTTTCTCAGAAGATGCGTCTTGAAATGGCCTACAAAAAATATATTGAGTATGTTATTCCAAAATGCTGAAGTGGAAAACTACACGAAAAATGCTACGAAGCTTCAAAGACTTCAACTTTCCAAAGCACTTTTCAGCACATCTAAACAATGCTTTTGAACGATTACAAATGTATCAGAATATATCAAGCTGAGTTTTCTGACGCTGTCAAGCGTGCTCTTTCTCATGATATATGAGAGATTTCGTCCACGCTCAATGTTACAATATAAAGAATAACTTCTTCGAAATGCACTGGGCAACAAGGAGAAACATTCTCTAGTCTCACATAGCGTATTCAAAAACACAACGCTATTAAACATCCCATACCTGGATATAACAGACATACAAGTTCTCAGTCAAATATTTTAAAAAGTTGGCCTCGAAACGTTTTGTTTTTTAGATAGATCTGACAAATTTTCACAGGTGTGCGAAACTGCTGTTCAAAAAATGATGATTCTTGTGGAAAAGTGTAAATAGAGAAAACAATTCTCTTTCAACTAGTTTAAGGGTGGAAAACTTCTAATCATAAGAAGACGGTAGAGCTTTTCAAGGGCTACAAGGTAGCTATGTAGATTTGTTCATATCTCAAAGTGCAAAAAGTAAAGCCGGCTAAGGCTGCATTTACGATCGGAAAGTTGAGGACTTTCGAGCTTCGTAATATTTTTCGTGTAGTTTTTCACTTGAGCATTTTGGAATAGCATACTCAATGCATTTTTCCTATACAATTCTAAGACGCATCTTCTGAGAAAAAGATTAGTTCTTGAAAATGTAATGAGAAAAAATTATAGTCAAAATGCCAAGAGGCTCATCTATTATGCGATACCTGGTATAAGACTATGACCATGATATAGCTCAGGTTCAGCTATGCTTCGTCACTGAGTATATGCCCAAAACTCTCAGCAGTGACCGGATTTCAGAGAAGCGCCATTTTACGTACCTCAAGTCCTGCATGTGGGCACCACGTAAATTGAAGTCCCACATGCGCATCTTAGTCTAAGTGTGACGGACTTTTCATTACAATTGAGGTAAATTAAACATTTCCTGGAGCTCTGAGAGCTCCCTATCAGTGTTGGACTCTAACTAAGTATTGATAATCAGGTTTTTCGATGTTTCTGAGCCTATTCGTATGAAAAGTAAAAAAGAAGGAAAAGAAGGATTTTAGAAGAAAAGAAGGACGAAGGAGGACACTCTAAAAAAGGAAAGAAAGAAGAAGGAAAGAAGGACCGGTGCGAGGCCTGTAGATGTAAAAATAGAAGTAATTCACCTGCTTGCATCAAATGAACTATTGATTTAGACATATAAACTCACCAGACTTATATTCATTAAACTATCAAACGATGCATAAACGTTTTTTTACTCATAGGCCTGGGACAGAGAACGTCGCAGGACGCAGGACCCGCCCTGTATTTTGGCAATTTTGTTTTGCATTAGTCCTGCAGATGCAGGAGCAGGACGACCTTTAATTTGATGCAGGATCTGCAGGACAATTTTTGCGTCCTGCATGACACTCAAACAGATATGCGTACAATTACCCACCATACTCAGAAGGATAGAGTAACACTTAACATGGTTCATGTTACCGCACAGAAAGGCTCAGAAAGTTTTTCTGATTCCAAGTACATAGTAAGAAAAAAACTTGCCCTGTACTTTTCTTCTGTGATACTATTTTGCTATTTATCGTCTCTATGGCCGTCCAACTAAGGTAGTATTAAGCGAGAACCAGATAAAAACTTGAAAGAGTAATGTAGGAATAGAGATTTTACAAGTTAATATAGAATAATCGCATAAGTGTTAGGTGGTACTGTAAGGTAAGATAAAAAAATTTTCTAGCTACGGAACAGGATATTAACAAAGCTAACTTACATTTATATACATCTGAATCATCTGACTGATCATGATCTAATGAAGGTCTGCTGTAGGAATAAAATCGGTCCTGATTTCTTCTTATTATCAGTAGTATCCAGAAGAGTAAGAACGATAATAGCGATCAGTGTTGTGACACAGATTATTTAGTTTCATTCGGCTGATGTTTATTTAAATATGACCATGCTTATCATTAAGTCCAATCGATAACAAACTATTTATTTATTCAGACAAGAAATTCAAGAACAAAAAGGTAAAAGAAAAGTTATCCTTTTTCTCTGTTATCTGTTTTTATTGATTATATTGTGAAATCAGTACCCTTATCTTTTTTTCTCTTATTGTTTTGTTCACATTACGAGCGTCAACTTTTTGTATATTTTATGTCTACTGTAGAACTTGTGATAAATTTTATGAAAATGATTGTTGTAAATGACTTTTCTATAAACAGCATTTATATGATATTTCACATCGTACCTCTGATTCATACAAATTCTAATCATTGTCCAAAAATTCGTCCTGCAGACAGGACTCAGGACGATCCTTTTTGTCTTGCAGGGCAATTTTTCAGGACGAAATTTTTGACGCCCTGCACTGTGTCCTGTTTTGCAGGACCGTCCACTAACAGTGCCCTGCATTCTGCAGGGCAGGACGAAAAAAACCGTCCTGCGACGTTCTCTGGCCTGGGATATCAGCCATGATTTCAAATAGTATCCATCACAAATTTTATATGAAATAAACGTGCATTGAAAATGGATGTAATCGGTATTAAATCGTAAGGATTATGCCAATTTTTCAGTACGAAATTGATAGAAAAATTCTTTTCATGATACAGTTCATACTAATTAGATCTGATTCTAAATGACGAATATTAAAAGATAATTTTTATTTTTTTAGTTTGATGAACATAATCTATAATTAGTATGAAAATCATT